ACGCGCGAGGCCCCGCGGGGCGCAGAGAGACCCCCGGGGGAGAGAGAAGGGGGGTTGTTCTTTTTGTTGCTTTCTTGGTTTGGGTGAAGAGGAACGCTAAGGTGCAGGGCATCTCGTCACGAAAACGCCTGAGCCTCACACGCACGAGAAGCGAGCTGAGCGTACCGCAGCGCGGCTACTGAACTTAACATCCCTCTCTTTCACCGAAATCGAACGTCCCTTCCGAAACGAGAGCTGTGATCCCTGAGCTGAGATCTTGTGGAGCGGGGCTGGAAGCAAGAGAAGCATTTGCCTGGCTGCAGTACGCAGGATCCCTTTCTTTGTTCCGTAGATCACCTGTGGCAGCTCGATCAGCCGGCTGGCTGGCCGTGGCTGGAATACGCAGAAATCAAAATGATTTTTAATAGCTTGTCCTCCCTACGGTGGACGTGGCCTAAGACAAAGAAAACAAGGATGAAATGTCTGGCTGGGAGCCTTGCAGGAACAAAAACAGCCTTGTAAGCACAGCCTGAAGTTTGCCAAACTCCAGCTCTGATGGACAGTGCAGGGGTGTTAGTTTCCGAGGCAGGTGTCCGCTGCTGCAACGCGCTCCTGCCGCCCTCGGAAAAGGCGAGTTCCCGAGTGCTAACAGCTGAAATGCAGCAGGGAGCCCCTGCGTGCTGTGCTGGAAAACTAAGAGCGAAGGTGACTGCCGAATGCAAGGGTTGCAGACCGCACAAGGCTTAAGAAATTGGCGCCAACACCTTGAATTGCAACCCAGGACTGCAACGGGAACCTCTGCAACAACCCGGAGAACGGGTCCTGGGGATGCTTCTGGGACAAGACAGCGTTAATCAGCAGTCAGGTCTTCTGCTTGGAGCTGCTGCTCTCCTCCGGGGAGCTTCCTTACAATGTCCAGAGCAGGCTCTAAATATGATTCCCTGCTTTCCACAGCAATGCCGGTGCCCGCAGTCACTCGTAGTTGCTTAACCTGCCCTCCTCCTCCTCCTCGTTCGTTTCGTAAGTTGACATTAGCTGTCTTTAAATACTCAGTGAAAAGGCTTTGGCCAAATGCTTTCTCATGGAGTATAGGCTTTAAGAACACACTCCTCATATTGCTGCTGAACAATTTCCACCAACTGCCCTTGCTGTCACTTACAGTATTTGCTGAGTTCCCGGTACTGCGAATGAGGAAGCACCGCATTGTTGCGGCAACAAATACAATGGCCAAATGCAGATGGTTTTAAAAGTCCCCACTGTTATGTGTGGACGATACGCAAAATGTACATGATGGGGAGAGGGGAAGAAAAGGCAAGTGGTTGTGTATATTGAGCAATCTGGCACGTTGGGCAATCATACTGTTTATGAGTTATTCTTGGGTGATTCTGTTCATTTTTAAGTGGAAGAAAAGTCCTATAGCACAGATAAGTTTCTTACAAATGATGACTCTGGAGAAAAAATCTGTAAGAGGGAACAACTGCAATTATTTTATTCATTCAGTAAGATGAAGATCGTTAAATCCACAGTTTTTGAAAGCCATAGGCACAAATACTACACAGGTCATGTACGTATATCAGAGAAAAAAAAAAAATCTCTTGTTCCTCTGAACACATGCGTGCTTCCTATGAACAGCTAAAATAACAACAATTTGACCCACCTTGAAGAAGTATGTACTCATCTATATGTAAGTGGAATACAGTAGAGCTGTGACCCGCTATTGCCAAGAGATGCTCTGCTGAGAACACACACAGTTTGCTGGGGGGGTGGGTTCAACAAATCTCTGCACAATACCCACAAGATATTGCAGATTACAGCCTGACCTTGTAGACTCTTACTCAGCCTTTACTCATGCAAACCGACTGATAAAGACTACAGAGCTACTAGACCCAGAGATCCCAGATCCGCTGCTATGAGTAAGACTTATTCACAGCAATACAGACTTGCAGGTCAAGCCATTTAGCATTTCATACCAAGGAAGGGTAGAGCATATAACATCACGACTATTTTACGGTTTTCTTAAAGTCGGAGCAGCTCTGCCCAGAAAGCTCTTCTTAGAATGAAATATCGATTCTAATCTATTATACAGGGAATGAGAACCGTAACAAAGCCATCTCTCGTCTGCATGGACTTCGGCGAGAGAGCTACTTCCAAACCCCCCAAACAGGGAAGTTGAAGTTACAAGAAAAGTTTCTAAAAAACCCTTTCCTGTTGCAACAAGCCAGGACAAAGAGGGTGAGAGGCAGCTGAAAACTTAACCCTCAAGAGTGAGCGAGGGTTTGTTTTCCTTTTCTCAATGAATGGTTTTCTAATTTGACGTAGTCTAGCTACAGAGGTCTCGTACTGCCGCTCTACAGAGCGTCCTGACTGAAATATTAGAAGAGCTACGTGAAACGGTCGTAGTCTGAAGAGTTTTCAAGACAAGATCTGCTATCTGCAGAAGGAACGGTATCAAGGGATAAGAAGGGCTCTGGGAAGGCAGAACATTCATATTTCATACCAGTGTAGGAAGTGTAAGAAAAGGAGCCAGCAACGAAGCAGGATGCTTTTCTTAGACAGATTTTGGCCAGGCCATATCAGTCAGAGAAGGGGCTTTTTCTCCCCACATTTTCTGTTTTCCAGCATCGTTCTCACCTTTGCCCATCACAGCCACTCTGTCCCTCAGTCTTGTGGAGATCTGCAGATGCCCTGTGGAAGCAAATTTGAGAGTTGTATTGCAGGCATAGTCCTTGCCAGCTGGGACCAGAGGCTTTAGCCCCCGTCTTACTGCACGGGAGATGTTATTAAATTGCTTTTTCTGTCTTGGCCGTGAAATGACCTAATTATCAGATTGCATTAGTCTTCATCTCTTAAAGTGGCCAAATCTGCTTTGGTTCTCAAGGATTTTATTGCCAGCTGAAAATAGCTTAATTGTATTGTACTTGCAAAGAAAACATGGTCTGGTAGAATCAAAGCAGTTGGTTTCCACAAGATGAGAAGAAATGCCATAAATAACGTGTTGGGCTTTTTTTTTTTTTTGGTCTCACCATTTCCATGCATGTAAACTGGCATAAGTTAGCCTTTCTTCTCTAGCCATTAAGTCAACTGGAAAAAATTCATCAGGAAAAGGTGGTTTCCCCATTCACAGTAAACCCCTGGGGTTTAGACATTAACTGGATCTTTATAGGTCTAATGCTGGGATCTCCAAGGAAAAATGAAGCCACATTGGTAATAGAAGGAATGGGTAAATCCAATGAAAATTCCACAGAGAGTCAGTTATATGTTTGATAAGACCTGAGAGAGAAAATAGATATATTTTGTACTTTGCAAGCAAATAGGATATACAGATGTGCAGCCAGTGACACAGTTATATTGGATAATAATGTGTTTGTTCATAGAGGGGGTGAAATATGACATAGGAAATTGAATTGCTTTGTATATCTGAGAACACTGGAAGTCACACACCATTCAGATTTTTTTTTATCTCTTTCTTTTCCAGACACTTTGTGTCCCAAATCTTTGCTGAAGATTTCAGGCTGTCTTATTTAGTCTTATTCTAAAGTCAAATCACTAGCCAGTGACTGTATTTTGAAAAAAAAATTAAGTATATCCTTTCAGGTTTTGCTACTGCAGATGGTGGATGTGGGAAGTAAGGTGAAGAAATCTTGAAATAATGAATTACAAACTGTAATCCATAGCTAACAGTAACTGTATATAACTAGCAATCCAACAGCAACCCAAGAAGTTCTGCCAAAGAAAACTTATTTCCAACACTATATTCCATGTGGCTCGATTCTCTATAAATTAAGATGCCTAGTTTAAAGGGTCTTTAATTTCCAGCTAAACTTTCAGACCTAACAAAATATGATAAATACCCGCTGGTAAAAAGTGAGCTCTCAGCTCTCAACACATGCTTACCTCTGCAGGGTCAAAAGCCTTGAAATGATGAGGAAATGTTAATCTGTTATTTAATGTACACTTTGCACATTCTTTATTTTCTAGAAGCCTTGCTGTAGCAAGAGACTTGTATTACCATTTAGTGATCTATTTTCATAATTTAGGATTGTGGATAATCTTTCAGAAATGCAGTAATCTTAAAAAGGGACATCTAGCATTGTTTGTGACATGGCAATATTCGATATTTTTCCTTGTCCAGCCATCAGTCAGCTGTGGCAATTTGCCCTCAAAGGCGGCAGTGGGGAATGTATGTTTGGATTAGTGAGAAGGACATTAGTGTAAGTGATAAAACTGACCAAGCAATTACATATTAATAAGGCTAATATTTTCCTATTAACCTCACAGTTATCGAATGATCTTCCATAGTTCCCATTCTTTGGATATCTCAAGGGAAAGGGAGTTAATGGTTAATAAAACTTGCCAGAGTGGTGAGAACATGCCCATGGAGCTG